TAAAACATCCATATATCATGTTATGTATGCATTACACTCGCCTTGACATTTTTATACAAGTCAATATTTAAGTCTCACTAAGCTTTAAGCTCGATCCTTTTTCTTTCTTTTGTTGTTAGTTTGATCTTGATTTTGATTTATGTCTATAAATATATCAAACATGTAACACGAATAATCAAAATCACATGTTAGTATCCATCCAACCCATAAACATATGGGATAGGAAAAATTTATAAAAAAATATTCCAATGCAATATTGTAATTACAATGTTTCCTACACTTCATTTCCACCTTAACTTACTCAAATTCACCTTTAAAATCATAATTTCATCTTAAACCCTTATTTTTCTCTTTCAGGCTTTAAGGACTAATAATAGAAATTTCACACTTCAAGTCTAAATTCAATGATTAATCACTAAATTAATCCTTGAAATATAAAAATATCATAAATAAGTCACTTGAATTTTTTTCATAATTTTTTCCTTAAGAAACCCATATGAACGAATACAGTCCATCACCATCCAAAGTGATTTCAAGCTCCAAACAACACAAGCATGTATTGAATTTTCTACCATAACCTTCATCAATTTCAAGCTTAGAATATAATTCTCAAACTTTTTTAAAGTGTCATTTTAGTCACTATTAAGATTCAACCATTCTTTCTCATTTCCAAGCTTGAATAAACATACTCAGACATACAACATAATATTATCATCATATCTAACATAAAAATCAATTCAAAACATCAACCCCTTAACTTTCATCTCCTTTTGGATTGATCCCTAAAGGAAAACTAATAGATTTTTCATCATTTAAAGCATGAAATTAACATCACAACACTTGTTTCATCATTTTCAAGCTGAAACATCAAATTCCATCATTATCTTCATCCACCCTTTTCATAAATTTAGGGTTACAAGCATGAACAACATGAACAAATTACACCAAATGAAAGATAATTCAATGAATGATAAAATTGTATTTCATGTCTTAAACTTAAATCCAAAAAAAAAGGTTTGAAAATCAAATAAAAAAATTACCTAGGTGCTTTAGAAAGATCACAGCAACAACACATAAAAATGGAGAAATCTTGAAATTTTTTTCTTTTTAGTCCTTTTTGGATTTTTATAACCTAAATGAATTTAAAATTCATTTTAATCCAAAATGATCACTTTAACCTTAAGATCAAATGATCCTAATCATGCCATATGTCAAATTTATCATTCAAGGGCTGAAATTAAACAATGGAGTTAGTAGTTACCAACTTTGCCCTTTAAAGTTCCAAAATTTCAACTTATCCTTTTTAATCTAGTGGCTAAGATTTAACATGGAAATCAACTTAAATCCAATTGTCCATATTAAATCTTATCATTTTAAGGCATGGAAATTACTTTATTAACCTTATCTTATGATCCTTCAAAATATCACAATTATTCGATTCGATCCAATTATCTGAATTTTTCTCAGACTTAATCGATTTATAACTTTTAATACAAATTTCATATAAAAAATACGAGTGACACAAAAACATCATTATTTGGGTAAACTATTCATTTATGTGATAAAATATCTATTTGGAAAAATTACAATTTTGGTTCTGAAACTTTTCCAAATTTATACTTTAGCCGCCAAACTTCCTTTTTATTCATTTTGGTCACTAATCAAATTTTTGGAGTATTACATGATGTTTTTCTTAAAGTGAGCACTTCATGTAATATTTACATCACTAATGGTTTCAATAAATATGTTTGTGTTGCTTGCCAAATGGGAAAGAATCATTGATTACCGTTTGAAGATTCTCAATCAACGTATAATTCTCCATTCCAATTAGTTTTTACGGATCTTGGGGTCCCCCTCATGTTTCGACTAATGGCTTTCAATACTATGTTTTGTTTGTGGATGCTTTCTCTCAACATGTTTTGGCATATTTGTTGTGTGATAAATCTCAAGCGTTGAGCTCTTTTCTTCAGTTTCAAAAGATGGTATACTCAGTTTGGTGTGAGCATTAAAGAAATGTAAAGTGATTGGGGTAATAAATTTCGTTCGTTGTCTAAAGTGCTTCAAGATGGTGGTATGCTTCATCGAGTCAGTGTCCTCATACGTCTCAAAAAAATGGTGTTGTGGAACGGAAACATTGTTATGTTATTGATATGACTCTAACGTTGTTGGCCCAAGCTTCGATACCTTTGAAGTTTTGGTCCTATGCGGTGGTAACGACTACTCATTTGATTAATAGGTTACCTACCAAGGTGTTGGGTGGCATTTCTCTGTTTGAGAAAGTATTTGTGAAGGAGCCTAGCTATCATCGTTTACGAGTGTTTGGATGCCGGTGCTTTCCTTGCTTGCGATCATTTTTATCTCACAAATTCAATTTTCGTTTGTAACTATGTACTTTCCTCGGTCATAGTCTGCAACACAAAGGTTATCATTGTTTAGCAGAAGATGGTCGTGTGTTTATGTCCCGATTGTGTTTGATGAGTTAGTATTTCTGTTTAGCTCATCTAAAAGTGATCAAGTTGCTACTCAAGTGTCTTCCTCGTTGAGTGCTGATCTGTTTGTTGTCCCTGGTGCTATGCAAGTTTTAAATTCTGGGGATGTCAATGGAGGTTCCTCCTCGGATCATGTGGTGGTGGGGTTCGTTGGTCGTCGTGTTGCGTGCAATGAAGCTTTGATGATTTTGCCAATAAGCAACCTAGTGATCCATCACGTAATATGTCCACTACACTTGGTGATGACGTGGCGTTGCATGGGCAGGCTTGTGGGAGTCCAAATTTCATGAATTTTGAACCATTAAATGTTGGTCCTGATGAAGCTTTGCATGGCTTTGCTAATAATCTACCTAGTGAACACTTGCGTGATGTTTCCACTACACTTGGTGGTGATGTTGCGTTGCATGGGCAGGCATGTGGGAGTCCAAAAGTCCCGAATTTTGAACCATTAAATGCTGGGCCTGGTGCCTCCAATTTTGTGCCTTGTGTTGCTGAACAGCCAAATGATCTTCAGTATGTGCCAGGTGTACCAAGTGCAAGTGCTGTGGGATGTTCGCAGGGCAGTGTGATGATCAGTTCTGCCCCCGATGCTGCTGTCCCTATATCTACTTTGGGTCCTGGTTCTAATGTTGTGAGTATTATTGAGAATTCTTTTGACTGAGAATACTCATCGTATGGTTACTAGAAACAAACGAGGGATCTTCAAACGTAAGCTCTTTCATGTAATGTAGGTCGAAGTGAAGCCAAACCTGTGACTGTCTATCAAGCTCTCGCATCACCTCAGTGGAAAGAAGCTGATTTTTTTTTTCTGAATATGAGGCGTTGCTCAACAATGGCACGTGGAAATTTGTTTCGTTACTTAAAGATCGGGTTGCGATAGGGTGCAAGTAGTTTTTTCAAATTAAACGGAATCCTGATGGTTCAGTTGCTCGCTATAAAGCGAGGCTTGTTATTAAAGGATTTTCTCTAGTTCCGGGACATGATTTTCATGATACTTTCTGTCTGCTAGTGAAATCTTCAACGATTTATGTTATTTTATCTTTGGAAGTTCAAAATAATGGGAAACTTCGTCAAGTTGATGTAAATAATGTTTTTTTAATAGTGAGTTCATTGAGGAGGTGTTTATGGTGCAACTTCCAAGCTTTAAATAAGTGTCTTCCGATGGTGAACGATTAGTGTGCAAGTTGGAAAAAGCGCTTTATGGATTGAAGCAAACTTCTCGGAACTGATACTCTAAACTTCGTTCTTTTTTATTTAGTATTGGTTTTGTTGGGACTCAATCTGAATCTTCTTTGTTTGTTCGACAGGAGTGTGATAGTTGTGTGTTTATTCTTGTTTACATTGATGACACCACCGGGAGTGATGATGCTTTGGTTGAGGATGTTGTGCGTATGTTGGGATTGGAATTTTCGTTGAAAGAACTCAGTGAATTGAGTTTTTTTCTTGGCCATGAGGTGAAACGCTCTGATGGTACTCTTATATTAAGTCGACGTAAATATATAAGAGAATTGTTAGAACGAGTGGATATGGTTGATGCTCGATCGCTACCTACTCCGATGCTTTCTTCACCTAAGCTTACAATTCTATTGTTTCAGATTTTTTCTAACTTGGAACGTTAAGAAGAATAAGAAAACACGTGGGTTTGAGTTTTGATTTTTTTTAATTTTTAATTGTCACTTTCGTTAACGGTTAACGGCGGATGGACTTAAATCGAACAGATCAATAACATTAGAGATCATTTACCCTTGATTTTTAAATTGGTGACTAAAGTTGATAATACCGAAAACATAAGAGACTATTCACATAGTTTATCCTACTTTTAATTGTGTAATATTAAATTCGATTAATTATCTATATTTTTATTAATAAATTCCCGTTGATTATATTATTAAATCATTATGACTGATTTCGAGCATAATTACTCAAATTCCCCCTTATTTAAAAGTTTTTTTTCTTTACAGCCCTTGCTTAAAAGTTGAATAGTAAAATTGAAGTGTTCCATTATCGGTATAATTAATTACCAGCAATTATACTAAAATCTAATTATTTTGTGGCTTCCCAACCACACTCAAATAAATTGATGTTAATTCTAAAACAAGCCACTAAGATCAGATTATAGATTTCAATAAAATTGAACAATTTAAAAAATATTTTTTAAAAATTAAACATAGTAATAAATCGTGTTATTATCCATATAGTGTTTAGTAAAAAGAAAGTCAATCAAGAATACAAACACTATTACCAATCTACTAACAAACCAGGTGATTATCTTGGTCATGAGTGATTTTGAATTTAAAATTAATATCTATTTTGTAAAATCGACTCATTTAATTCAAAAATATATCATACATAGAGATCCAAGAATGAAATTAACTTGAACTTAAATAATAAACATTGACCAGCTAACATCCCTAACATGCAGGCAGAACTGGTAATTCTTACAGAACTGCCTCTTCGGACTGTCATTTCAGCAGATCTGAGCTTTCCATAATTCATACAAATACAACATGCTGCAATTATTGGACCTGGTAGGCAATTTATATTCTTGTTCCAAGGGAAAAATTCAAAGACAACAACTTTAGCAGGATAATTGGACTGAATATATAACTTCAAGAAACAACATTGACACAATCTGCAACTCAGAAGCAAACTTTGGTTTTCTAATTGCCCATCTGAGAGATGCAATTAGTTTAGCTGCACTTGCAAACTAGACTAATGCAATGTAAAATATACAAACAGATATACCAAACCCTTGAAAATTTGCTGTTAAGAATGTAAAAGAAATAACCTGACAGACAATAGGAGGCCGGATCCAATTAACTCATGATCTACAGCACATGTTGCTCTTTGCTGGAATTTCCTGTGCTGGACCTGGAATGATGATCTTCTTGCCTGCTAGAGATGCGGGGTTGCCGTTTCCCTGATTCTCATCAGCAACCAGGTTCTTCTTGTTCACGATGTTGAAGATCTCAGTAAGAACAGTCATGAAGGCCGTCTCCACGTTAGTCGCTTCAAGAGCTGAGGTCTCCAAAAAAAACAGTCCTTCCTTTTGAGCAAATTCTTTCGCATCCTCGGTTGGTACCTCCCGTTGGTTTTCAAGGTCACATTTGTTCCCAATCAGAATAATAACAATGTTCTTGTCTGCATGGCTGCGCAACTCTTCCAGCCAACGTGGAATGTGATCAAAGGTCTGGCGTTTTGTTATATCGTAAACCAGCATAGCCCCGACAGCACCCCTATAGTATGCACTTGTAACAGCTCTGTATCTGTTCAATATAGCATATCATAAGAAGCCAAAAAATTAGGCAGAAAGTATTGGTCAACTCAAATGGATAGGTTTGTATATCCAAACAGGATCACCGTAAGGCAAAAGAATCCCCAATTCCCCATAATCAAATTCAAATGACAATTGTCCTAGGTGGAACCAGCAAGATTAACAGTACCAAAACCAATTATATATAACCTATTAAACATTAACCGTCAAGAGTTAGATTCATATGCTTTAACCATTACAAAGAGGTTGAATGCTTAAAAGATGACCAAGTCAAGACTATCCCATCGAGTCATCGACCACTTATTTACTACTGCAAATATCAGGACGGATTGCAAGTTTGCAACTAAAATGGCTCAAATTCAACAAGGATGACAGAGATCACAAGCCTGCTTATCAACATCACAAACTTAAATATGAATTCGCACATGCTCAAATCTCCGACGTCTACATCACAATTTGTTGCAAATGCGATGAAATCAAGAACTTAGTTGAATACAAGGCCTTGTTTACCTAGTTGAATACAAGGCCTTGTTTTCCAAACAATTTCATCTGATCAAATAGAGCATTGAGATAGAACTGAGGTTCCTATTGACAACTGATCACCTTGTAAGAGTCCATCCAGCCCGTCAAAAGTTAAAAGCAACAGTAATTACATAATCCATTTATCAAACATTGAAAATCTTTTTGCCTCCAAACAATTTATACAACTAAATACAACAATATCTTGTCAGTGAACAGTAAATCTAACAAACAAACTATGACTACATATTTCAGATAGCATTTTCCAAGCTTATAATTCATTCCACAAACTACAGATCTATGAGAAAACAGAAAGGTTTCACCAAAAAGAAGGGGAAATAAACAAATCTTCATGAAAAGTAAAAAAAAAAGGTACCGTTCTTGACCAGCAGTGTCCCAGATCTGAGCCTTGACACTCTTGTGTTCAATAACAAGAGTTCTCGTCTGAAACTCAACTCCAATGGTAGCCTTGGAATCTAAACTGAACTCATTTCTAGAAAACCGTGCAAGAATCTGAGACTTTCCCACAGCAGAGTCACCGATCAAAACTACCTTGAAGACATAGTCAATGTTCTGGCTTGGGTCCCCATACCCTCCTCCGCTTGCCATTTTTTTCTCTTGATTCTACTTGTGCTCTTCGTTATTTCGGCCTGGAATATAGCTTAAGTGAGAAAACAAAGGGCTTGTGTTGTATTGCAATGGCTCTAATCTAATAAATCATTGATGAGAAAGACGGAAAGAAAATTTGTTAATTATCAAAGGAAAAGGAAGAGATTCAGTGTGTCCAGGTTTAGAGTAAATAAGAAATGGTTATCCAATGAGGAGTACACATTTGCCACCTGATTAAAGTAATTTCTTCTGTTCCATTTGAACTAGGAAATGTTCGTGTCCTTTGATCTGTTGAACATACTTCGTTGCTGTAGTTTCTGGTTTTTTAACTTTTTTTATCTTTTGATTTAAAAAATAAACATAACACTTTAATTGTAAATCAAATTATTTTTAAATTAGATTAGTATAATTTTACATGCATTTGGCTCCAATAGTTGTGATTAGTGACAAATGATAGGGTAAAATGAACAACATGCCACTTAATTATTAGTAAAATTGCAAATTGATCATCGAATTTCAAAAAGTGTCAAGTGGATCACTTAATAATCAAATGTTACAAACTTACAAACAAATCACTTTCCATTAAAAATAAGAGACATTAACTTATATGGCGGTAAATTTTATCAACGTTGACATTGTGTTTATTGTTCTGTGTGAGACACTAAGTGTGACAGTTGATAAAAAACTTTAATATGAAATCTATTTTTCGATGTACACTTAGAAGATATTTTCTTTAATTAAAATACTTTAAAAAAATCATATGTCACGTAAATTAAAGAGTAAACTTTTATATTCCAATTGAATTGATCAACAAATAATGGTTTAAGGGCTACTTTTGTACCTATACTAGACCTAATTTATCATTTTCAGTCTTATTTTTTCGTATCAATTTAACCCTTGAATTTATTTAATTGCATCGTTCTAAACCGTAAAATCTAAACCCTAGACTTTAGACCTAACTCTAAACCTAACATGAAACCAAAAAACATAATTCTTAACTTTAAACCCTAAATAATAATTTTAATGCAATTAAACAACTTCGAAAGCTAAATTTATGCAAAAATCTACGGGAGCAAAAATAATAAATTGAATCAACTACGAAGACAAAAATAACCCTTGAGCTAAAAATAATAATGTAATTTTCTATCAATATATATAACTTTTAATAAACTTATATTTAAATTAAATGGACCAAGCAAAGTAATAGAATGGTTTGTCTGAACACGGATGGTGCGCTCTCCAACGTCATTGGCCGAGGCTCTATCGACGGTCTCTTTCGTGACCACACTGGTGATTGCTTGTTTGCTTATTGCAAAGACATCGACACCTCTACGGTCCTTGAAGTTGAACTGTGGAGAATTCTTGAAGGACTTCAACTTGCAAGGCAAAATGGTTTTGAACGTATCGTTATTCAGACGGATAGTAATAATGCTTTCCAGCTTGTCACTCCTCCATCCCCGACTAGTCCTCTGGCTTTGGTTTGTACTATCGCCGACCTTTACAACCGTGCATGGTATGTTGCTTCCCAAAAGATCTATAGAGAAGCAAACGTAGCTTCTGACTTCATCGCAAAAATGACTGCTCCCTTAGATGGTTCCTGGAAAGCTCTTGACTACTTTTCGTCTCCCCTCCAGTGTCACCTTCATAGGGATATACTATGCTCGAGTGAAACATTAATGTATCGGCTTCGGCCTCCTTTCCATTAAAAAAAGTAATAGAATATTTTAGTTAAATGAATCTAATAAGGTAATATTCTATATAGTATAATTTTTTAATATTTATATTTCTTATTTTTTTCTTATTTTTATAACTTTCTATTTTTATATACTATTATTATTTAATTTCATATTTTTATATTATATTATGGATTATTTTATATGTTTATATATATGAATTATCCCGTTTCTAAATATTACTAAATAATTATGATAAGTATATATTTATATATACTCTTAATTAAGTGTTTGATGGTACCATAGGTTAACTAACACCAATTTAATTGGTAAATTACAAAAAAAATCTTTTATAAATAAATAACGTTTTCAGGTTAATTTTGTAATTTAAACTCAAATGTCATGAAGCCTTAGCTTAAATCGTAAGGTTGTGAATTTTGATTTATTGAATATTGAGCCCAAATTTTATGTGTAAAATTAATATCTTTTTATTAGTTTAAGAATAATTATAGAATATTATTGTCCAAAATAATTTCAATATATTTGATAATGAATGTTGAAATATTATGATATGTTCAAATTCAAAGTCTTTAGAAATAATAACAATTCTTTTAATTATTGTGATAATTTGTTTCGTATAAATTATATTTTTAACTACTATTTTTACTGAAAAATAACTATAATTTATTTTAAAATATTTTCCCTTTCGCCTACTTTTGAGGTGTACCATTAAGTAATATACGTTAAAATTATCAAAGATTGATTTCTTATGAAATAATTAATTCATTTTAAATGTTTTTTTAGTTAGAATGTGGCATTTTGTTAAATGGGAAAATGAGATTTTTTTAAGTGAAAAATTAAATTATTTTCTTCCAAAAAATACTCATTTTAATATAGTAATCATATATTTGTCTTGGCATAAACTAATGTAGTAATTATATATTATTTTCTTCATTTATTATCAGAAATATAAGACGCTGGTCTACGAAAGCAGAGACTCTGGGTTCGATCCCCAGTGGAATCGATAAATATGTTTTTGGCAGATCCCAATTTGAGCCTAGCCGATAGTGCCGGGCCGTAAGGACATTGCCTAAATTCCCTAATAACACTCAGCCCATATGATCATTTAATAGAATTCTTTCTATTTGAAAATTTAAATTAAATTCCCTAATAACACACAGCCCATATGATCATTTAATAGAATTCTTTCTGTTTGAAAATTTAAATTTTTTAAATTAATAGATTATTAGTTGTCTCTTTCATAGTGAATTTAAGATTTTTACTATTATTTTGGATTTATAAATTCATATTTTTATTCTTTTATCCACTTATAATCTATGCACTTCATTTTAATTTTTTAAATTTGCATTTTCAAATGAAACATTAATATAATTATAAATTTACATTTATAATATATTTTCATATTTTTAATTATTTTCAGTGTGTATACAATTTATAAACAGAGACAAACGTAAAATTGTATGTTGGGGGTAAACTTGAACTTTTAAATTTTCAGATGATGAACTTGTTATAAAATTCAAAAGAGCGAAAATATATTTTCAACAGAAAATACATAAAAAAATCTAAAGTTTATAGTAATTTAAAATTTTAAGGGTGCGTTTGCTCCACCCGCTCTCTCCATCTATTTCTGCCTAAATGCAGCTACTTGTGTATTATAAGTATGACCTCATATGTTGTTATTTGAGGATTTAGATTTTGTAACCAACGCTCATTTTTACCCGTTCTAAATACATTGTGTATCAAAGAGGACAACTAGTTATGGTTTAAGTTAATGAGCCCTTTAAATACATTTATCCATTAATTCGGCTGCCTCATTTTGTTTATTAACTCCAGAATAACCTCTAATTTTAAGACATTTGGCACCACATGATCCACTGGAATGAATATTATTATTTTATTCATTAAATAATAATACTCTATACCATTAGCTATTTTAAAACTATCATTTATTTTAAATGAAACACTTATTTCTTTTTATATTCTAGAAAATGAATTAGTTATGAATATAAATTCTATCATACTTCTTAAGGAAAGTTGACTTTTTTAGCTATAAAAATATGATATTAATGAACTGAAACATATTTGATAAGAAAAATGGGAAGCATTTATAGTGTGTAATACTCTGTGATGAAATACGTAAGATCTAATTGGAACTTAATCAGTCACAGATATACATGTAATTAATTTCAAACTTGTTAAGGTTGTCAAAAATAAGTCTTGTTTTCCCCCTCAAAAGGTTTGTGAGTTCTTCCTCACACACAACACGTGTATTTACATGTCATAAGTTCTATACCCGAACTTTGTCTCGCTAAGTGGGAGTAAATTGCTAGTGCCTTCGTGAGTAGCCCTACTCATAGGCTAGTGAATCACTCCTGGAGTATATGCCTTATGATCTTTGTGAGCAACCCTCCGTGTTAGACACAAGGAATGTGCTCCCTCGAATTGAATTTGATCCACTTAAGTCTATAATAGATGAGGATTTAGGGTTTGGTAGCCCAAAGAGTACCAACAAAGACAATTAGAGTACCCTTTTCCTAGGACTAAAACCATGCATATAGTGAACCCTTGCCCGTCAGAGGTTATACCAAAATTTTGTCCGATAGTAAATATCCTAATAGGTGTACATAAAGGAGGAATGACTCTACACCTTTACTCTTTGCTACATAAAATAAATTTATTTCTAAACGAGAGCATGTTAACTAGATATCACGCGATTATGATTATTTTACGGAATAAAGCATGTCTGGGATAGGGGTTATATTCATCTTTGAATAGTGTTGAGTTAATCGATCGATGAATCGACCATTGATGACTTGAATATCGATATAACTCTTCCCGAATCGACTCAAGAGGTGCTTAAACCTTCAAATGAGTATAGCTCTGATATCAATTGTTGGAATTTGTGGAAGCTCGAATCAACAATCGAAAAGGTTCGCCAAGAGGGGTTGAATTGGTTTTTTTGTTTAGGGAGTAAGGAGATTGAAAGATAAAAAATTGCACAGCGATTTATAGTGGTTCGACTTCTCAACCAAGTCTACATCCACCACCTTAGCTCCTCACCAAGGATTTTCCAACAAATTCACTAATTTGTTCTTTCTTTTTACAGGACAAAGAGATAACCTTTACAACTCCCTAGTTTTCAATGGCTAAACTAGAACCAATCCCTAGCTTTTACACGGCTCAGCTAGAACCAAAACCCCTTTACAAAAGGAAAGAAAATATAAACAAGAAAACCTCTCTAAGGTAGGTGTTTACAAGATTTAAGCTCACAAGAACACAATATTTACAAGAGAGAATAAAAATAAGAATGAAAAACTTCTTCTCTTGTGTTTGAATGCTTGAATATGTGTTCTCTTTATTCTTCAAGTGTCTTGAACATGTATTTATAAGTTGGAATGAGTTTGAAGTCGTATATCATTGTTGGGGATGTTTTGGAACCGTTGGGGATTCATTTTCTACGAAATATAACTGTCCATAACATGGTGTATCGGTATACTATTAAGGTGTATCGGTACCCCTTCATAAAATTCAAATTTTATGACCGTTGGGCTGAAATTACTGTAGCAGTGTATTTTTACATTGTAGAGGTATCGATACACTATTTACATTCAATGTTTTTAGCATCGGTACTGTTCATTATTGTTCATACAGTATCGGTACTATTCATACAATATAGTATTATTCATAAAAATATTTTGTGCTCAATTCCAAATTAAATGAACTTTGAATTATTTTTGTAAACTTTGAAAACTTTGAATAAATTCAATTCAAGTCCAAAACTATTTTGCCATAAATTGTTATATCAAAACATAGTTAAACAAATAACACTTTTATCTTTATCAATTATTTTATTTGTACTAATTCATTTTTGTCATTTTTCACCTTTTTGCATTGCATCATCATCATAGCATAACATGAATGTGTTGATCCGTAGATGACTCTCTAATTAGAAAATTTTCATAAATAGAGAAAAAGTTTATCAATCAAGTAACTGTATACATAGACATGCACTATTGGCTAATTAAAGCTTAGAGAAAATGAGGAGAAAGTTTGCTTGAAGATCAGACATCAAAGTTGATCGATAGAACAACATCCAAGATTTGAGAGGTGATCACTTGATCCGAGCAATGATGCAGTTACAAAATCTTACCTACAATGGTTCCACCTTTAATCATCAAGACGCAATGCATGACTCCAACATCACACGGGCATTATCAGAGATAAATCATATTTGAATAGATCCTCTACACGAGCCCAAAGAGTTATAAAGCACTTGAGGGGTCGAGTTCCCAATGATGAAACCCAAAAATAAAGTATTGACCTACTTTAGACCAAGCATCCAAGCAAAAGCATGTTTTGAAAATGAACTATCTTGAATAACGATGACTTTTATCTATGATGAAACTTATTCTATGATATTCATCGTATGTATCAACACCTTTTGCATTTGCATCTTTGTATTTCACATTTACATCTTTGCATTAAATTTAGTTAAGCATTATCGTATGCATCACTCATGAAAACATGAAGTTAATATGTGAAGGACTCTGTGGCAGTAGTTCTAATCGCGTAATCTCGTTCACGCAACTGAGAACTGTGGGGTATTGAAACACAATGTACAAAATCTGATTGATTCATGGGAATGGATGTTTGATGAATGATGTGGTATTTTGATGCGAATCAATAAGTCATTGCATCCACCATGAAGTTTTGTTGCAATTGCATGAAAAAAAAACATATCATCTTGTCTGAATTTGTTTTTCTTTATTTTTCCTCTGTTTATAAGTTTGTAAGTCACTGAACTTTTTGAACATGTTAAATAAAATGTTACATTCTAAGGTTATGAGCAATGAACAAATTTTAATCTTGTAGTTATGTAAATATCATTTGAATTAAATGCTCTCTTGAGAATCAAAGTTATAGTCACTTTGGCAAGTGACAAGATTGAACCATAGTAAAACAATGACCCTTGATCCTACACTAAAAGGTACACTCGAACATTATAGCCTTCT